TAATTAATTAATTAATTTAGCTTTATTTACGAGGCTTTCAGCCTTAGGCTGGTTCGCCTCCGAATTGTAAACGATATAGAATTACATTTACTAACGTTAGGCTCTAACAAATTCTTCTTACACCAAGTGTAAAAAATGTCAACTTCTTGCTGAAATAGCTGCAGATCAGATGCTTTAGATATTTCCATGAAAAGTTTTATGTCATCTGCATATATTGAAACATGGAGCAGCTTCAAAATGTATTCTATATCATTGATAAATAAAATGAATAGTAGTGGACCAAGATGCGAACCTTGAGGCGTTTCTGTCAAAAGATAAGCAATTATAACGAAATTAAAAGGAAATATATGCCGATTTTTGTGATACAAGAAAAAAGTATCACTATTGTTCTTGTATCTTGCAAACTGCCAATGACACGTTACAACTCCCTAGCACAGACAAACACCCATAACTCTTAAAAGACAATTCTGCAAAAAATATTGTCTTGCGTATTTTCAAAGATCTAATCAACAAGATATCCCACTAATCAATTCCTCGAACAAGGCAATGGATACACTACCCTTATGTGATCGCAGTGTCATCTGGTGAGTGCACATTGAAACTGTTAGGAGTCTCCCACCAACTTCACCACCAGGGCTCAATAACTGACAAGGGTCAGCATCATTATATTGTGATAGCAAGATTCACACTTTTTTGTCCACTGCTTATCATTATCACTTTATAAGCAAAAGAAACACTTGAGAAATCAATAACACATCCGACTCACATATTGATGGGCTTGTAATGTGTTTTGCTTTCGAGTGAAAAAGTTTCCAATACCATCACCATGCTAAGCTCTAATAGTGATTGATGATTTGTGAAGCTGTTGCTCAGAATAATCTTTATAAGCATAGAAGTAAACATGGAAAAAACATTCCCTCTCCCTAACGAATTTTCCAACACCCCGCCACTGGAAATATGCAACGTAGCGAAATCATTGCTAAACAAACGTAAAAAATACAGTCTTCCTTGGCCGACGTAGCACGCATTCTATTAAAAAAATATGTTGGAATAATTATTACTTTCCTATTTTATAACGTAGGAAGGTATTTAACAACGGTATTTACGGAAGCTACCGAAACTGTGTGATGTCGATGAATGATTACACCGCTTCGTGTTTTAATTTTCCTTGTAACGTCCGCTCAGTGTTGTGAGTTCCTCCATGCATAGATTTTGGTGTGCGTGTTTTCTTCCAACGTTGCAGTTCAACGTTGTCTCGTCACAAACCGATTGGCGCTGTTATCTGTCTCTCTAAATTCCAAAGAGTGAAGGGGGTCTGGTATTTTGCATGCACACTAGCACCAACCGGTGGAAACTAACGATTTTAAATTGGCTCACTACTTAATTAGCCTATTGGTCCCAAGCAAATCGATTAACGTACCCCAAGTTTGACAGATAAAATGAGGGGTTCACGGATTTGCCTATGTTTCGAGGGGTGCATCGATTAGCTTGGGACCGAAGAGAGTACCAGAGCTGAGCCATAAAGTTTAGCACGTTTATTCGGGACCTTCTGGTCTTAGAGTTACCTCTATGCTAGCACCCTCTATCATGCACATCATGCAGGTTTATAGAATTGATTTAATTCTGTAGAAATACGAATCCGTAGGAGAAATTCACAGAGGCTCAGACTTTTTAGAGATTTGTGTTGATTGTTTAAGTTGATTTTTCTTTTGCTGGAAACAAGTTTTTAAACGGGGTAATGCATCACTAATGAGTGCTCTTTCAATCACTGCTCATCACTCTAATGTGCACATAACAAAAAAATATTTATCAATTAATGTTATTCATGATTTATTGAACACTAGTTACTTAAAGTAGCTACAATATTACACTAGGGTGTTTCATTCTGGAAAAAGATTGATCTTTTTGATAGACCACCCCCTTCAGTTCAGTTCATAACACAAAAACAAACATCTATGCAAAGAATCAGCAAAATTGATCAACGTTAAGAGGTCGCGCCAACGATTTCAATTTTGTTAGGGATTTTCGTCAAATTAGTATGGGAGAAAATTATGACCCACTACAATAATTCAAACTTTTTTCTCAATGAACCGATTTGCATGAAATTAAAATATGTTATACATAAAACTATAATAAACAACATAGTTGAAGGCCAGCTTCACCGGTGGAAAACTTCCGAGTAACCGAGAAGTACTGCCGCTCTTCTTTTTGCATCGCGCACATCCTCGCGCCACGATATGACAATGCTGCTGGAAGGTGGTTCAATCGGCAGGACAAGTTTGGGTCAGAGCTCGTTTCTCAATGAGGACCCTAGCCATTGTATACATAGTATAGCACTCTCCTTGATTTCCGGTTCCTTCAGACTCTTACCGTCATCACATGCGTCGCTGTAGGAGCCCAACATGAATCCTGGCCTTACTTTTTCTCTCTGCGCTGAAAGAAATTCGCGATCTTCTGCTTCCGTAATCATTCGAATGAGCCATATCGAAAAGGTTGTCCAATCCTTCGTTGAAGGCTTTTCTTTGCTAAACAAATTTTTCGTCAATTCGAGAAATACTTTTTTTTATGATCGTGAAGTTTTTCCAAAGCCTTGATACTACGGCTGGTTTTCCTCATTGGGATTCGAGCTCTGACCCAAACTTGTTCTGCCGATTGATCCACCTTCCAGCAGCATTGTCATATCGTGGAGCGAGGTTGTGCACGATGCAAAAAGAAGAGCTGCAGTACTTCTCGGTTACTCGGAAGTTTTCCACCGGTGAACCTGGTAATGGGCTGACCGATCAACCACTTCTCCGTATCACTTCTCAACTCCATGGCACTATTGTATCCAAAGATGACAGCACAATATGTTTATACACATTGAGGTAAAACAAATCTGGCAAAGCATACTATGCCCTATCAGCATACTTGCTTTTCTGCTCAAATCAAGGATTATCTGCAATCTGAGTTCCAAAAGCTTATTTCTGTTTTCTGGAGCATCAAATTGACTTGCAGCTTTCAACAAATTTGTTTATATTATATTTATATTTGTTAGTATATCATATTTTAACTTCATGCAAATCGGTTCATTAAGAAAAAAAAGTTAGAATGATTTTGGTGGGTCATCATTTTCTCCCATACTAATTTGACGAAAATCCCTAACAAAATTGAAATCGTTGGCGCGACCTCTTAACGTTGATCAATTTTGCTGATTCTTTGCATAGATGTTTGTTTTTGTATTATGAACTGAACTAAGGGGTGGCCTATCAAAAATATCACGTTAATTCTGTGTAAATCGTGCAGCGTAATATTGCACAACAAGCGGAATTACTAATCTACTGTTTGTGCGTAATATTCAAAAAAAAATTTCTGTTTTCGTCAGATTAGTATGTGGTACAGTAATGACCCGATGTTGCCGGCCCCTCCGCGCATCATACTTTTATCATTAAATAATTTCATAAAATCGTAATTCCGAATCATTCTCATGCATCTTCAATAAGACCACTGAAAAAGTGCATGGGTTTCGCAGAGCTTTAGAAAATATTTTCTACGGGCTGACAAAATCGGGTCATTACTGTATATGTCTCCAGTGGGATATCTCCTTATCATTTTCAAGAGCTAAAATTTACTAAATTAACCTGAAAAAAGAATTTGCGTCACTGATAAGTTCAAAATATAGTAGCTTGCTTAACGCTTCAGTGGCGCCACCATGACAAATGCGAGCACATTCCCAACTTAATCCATATATGCGAAAAATGACTGTTATGTCTGTTTGTCTGTTTAATTTTCAATTTTTGGTATTAAATTGGTTAATGTAAAACCAATTGGAAAAGTAACAAATAAGTTGTTAAAGTAGAAACCTGTAGGGCCCAGAAATCACAATGAATTCTTATGTTTAATCACAGACAAACAGAAATATCTTTTCCGTGTTTTTCATCTAACGCATTCAATGGTCAATTCAAATTTTTCTTAGTTGAAAGTGCTATCGGCTGTGTTGCGCATAGTTAATTCCCTTTCGTTTGTCATTTACAGACTACCGTTTGGTTTATTAGTAATATATTTTACGTGATATCCGGGATAATCCGAAAACTTCAACTAAAAATTTCGGGAAAAATTAACAACGATTTCAATTTCTTTTCAGTTGAATTAAATTTTTTAAATAAAATTGAAACCAATTATTAAAATTAATATTTAATCGCAAATTTTCGATTTTTTTCAATAAATAAAATAAAATAAAATAAAATAAAATAAATAAAATATATATGAATACACATTAAATTAATAAAAATTAAATAAATATATATTTTTTAAGATCAACCCGAATTTTTATGAAATTTTCTTCCGTTTACATAATCTTCAACTCTACCTTTGTTCATAAAATTCTGAGATCCTTCGGCAAATTTTGTCCAATAATCTCCAGGTGCAATGTTCCATTTTCCAATAGGATCGAAAGAAGCAGAAGCAGAAGATATAATTCCAAACGTTCAACTAGCTTCTCCGTCTACGACAACTACAGTTATTCAGGTAATAAATCCTAATCAGCTCTTAAAACAAAACATAATCACACGAAACGCTTAGCTTCCAGTTGAAAAATCAATTACGAATTTTACGTCCACCACCGATCGCTTTGTTTTACGGTCCGTGTCTTCATATCGATTTACATGTTCGTCGCAATCAATGTCATCATCGGTCGCATGTTTCGGTGCATTCGCAGTAAAACTATCTACGATGAATTCTTTATGAGCCACCACCGCCCAACACTGCCGGCGAATGTGTCCTTTGCGAAAAATCACGTTCCACTGGTCGTCGTTGTGTGAATGACATGATGCGTTTGAATATGTCCTCGAACATTCTACCTCCCTCGTCGGTTGGCGTTTTGGGAAGAAAATGTCAGCAAACAGAAGAAGTGTCAAGAATTTTGCTGGTTGGATCACAACTGGTATAAAAACGACCTAATACCAACCAGACGGCATCAGTTCCATTTGCTTGCATCTTCCAATCACTTCTGTGTAGAAAAAAAACCAAACAACCACTCCCAAAATGTTCAAGATTGTAAGTCTCGATTTCAAAAATCGTCTCAAACAAATTCTAATAAAATTCATTCCATTTTTGTGTTTCAGGTCTGCCTGTTCGCCGTCATTGCCGTCGCTTTGGTTTCGGCCGAACCCAAGCCCAATTTAGTTGCCTACAGCGCTCCCCTGGTAGCCGCGGCTCCAGCAGCCTTCGTTTCGCAAGGATCGGCCGTCTATGAGCGCACCTTCCACGGAAACACTGCTCCATTTGCCCCGGTTGCTGCCTACGCCTCTGCTCCCTATGTCGCTGCTCCTCTGGCTTATTCGGCCTATCCGGCTCCTTACTACACCGCCGGTGCTCCAGTCTTCGTCAAGTGAGCTGCTGATGGATTCCAAACGATGTGAAGCATGTTCCTGATTTTCTGAGCGAAACCCCTTGCTAGTCCGTTCTGATTGTTGTGTTCAAGATTCTAGTAAAACAAAATGAAAAAAAAAAAAAACAATACAAGAATTACTAAACTATATTGATTGAAGTTGTTAATATGTGCATCCGAAAATGGTTTATGTTTATTCTGACCACAGTTAGAAAATGGGTACAACCATTCATGAGGCCTCCCTTAGCTCAGTCGATAAAGGCGCAGCTACAAAGCAAGACCATGCTGGAGGTGGCTGGGTTCAATTCCCGGTCTGGTCTAGGAATTTTTCGGGTTGGAAAATTTCTCGACTTCCCTGAGCAATAATAGAGTATGATTGTACTTGCCACACAATTATACTAATGCAGAAATGGTACAGGCATCGAAAGCTCTCAATTAATAACTGTGGAAGTGCATCTAGAACACCAAGTTGAGAGCACCCAATAAGCTAATATGCGATATGCAATAAGCTTGAAATGCAAAGAAGAAGTAGAAGAAGACAACCATTCAACAAAGGTCCCTTAGCCGTAATGAGCAGGTCCAGGCCAATTGGAAAAAACAGAATTTTTGACTTGACCTTCTCCAATTTGCATGAAACTTTGCATAATTGTTAGTTATGGGTAATCATTCACATTTGTGCTGAAATTTCATTTGGTTTCTAGATCTTTTTTTTTACAAAATTGCGTTTTCGATATTTTTCAATAATTTCAATAATTTTTTTACAATTTAGTAATTTTATGAAAATAATCCTAAAAAATGTTAAACTAACCCAAAAAAATAAAAGTGTGTTCAATATTTTACATTACTTTTTAACGAAGGTTACACAAAATAAAACTTTTTGATAAATTGACCATCTTGGATACTTGAAAAAACAAAAACGTTGAACAACTTTTCGTAAAATTTTTTAACAATTTGTCAGAATGCTTTTTTGTACGATTTTTGTGCAAAAATTACAAAGAAAAATGTACGAAAATTTAACCAAAATGTGTTATTCTACGATTGTAATTTTTAAAGTGTCCAAGGTTTTAAATATGATAATTGTTTTCATTTATTGGAAGCATTTAAAAAAAAATCATATTTTTTTGTAATTTCAATTTTTTTCTTGTCTTAGACGTCATGTCGATTTGTAGTTATTTTTCCATGCTTTTTTTTTATTGAAAATGTCGAAAATACTGTTGAAAAAAAAATGCAATTTTCAAAATGTCAGAATTTTAGCATAAATGAGCACTTCTACCCCAAATGACGCATCCATCAGACTCGACCTTCTCCAATTTGCATAAAACTTTGCATAGTTGTTTGTTATGGCCAATGATTTGCATATCTATTAAAATTAGGCCATTTATGATTATTCAATAGTTTTTAATACACCGTAGCACAAAAACGTACATTCTAATCCAATTGACGTTTGAGACAAAGTTGTAGAAAAAAATATAGTCATCTAGGAAAAGTATATAAATATATAGGCTGATGCAAATTTTATTGTTCTATGTCACCACCCACAAAAATAACATAACATTAAAGGGCATAAAGTTAGCCTCATTCAAAATCGCCTTTCGATCTGCGCTTTATCCTGAAACAAGACAATTTTTTATGTTACTAATTTATTATGTTCTAGTTCAATGACTTGATACGTTAACTTTCTTCCCCTCACTCCATTGACCTTTTTGAGTGACGTGCATCATCGATCACCGATGACCGATAATCGTTCGATGGGATTTGCCCCCGCAACCGACGTTCGGGGACTCAGTCGATCTCTACCGCTCATCAGCTCCGGTGTCGTTTTGAACAATATATGCTTTGTATTAAACGTCGATAAATGTCAATAGTTTAAGTGCAAATATAGAAATTAAGCTCAATAAATTAGTGGAATTTAAGTTAACCCATAATAAAGTGCTCGTGTAGTGTTCATTCAATCAATTGGAGTGCTTGTTATTGAAAGAATTGAAGGGGAAAGAACCGGCAACCCATCGTCCATTCAACTCGGCTCCTTCCAACTGCAAGGCACAGGTAACCTTCGACCGACCTACACATTCACCCCATCACTTTGGTCCTTCGAACCGGATAGTTGAAGGTACCATCCCAAGGGACGGACGACACGGAGAGGTCACGAAAGGTCATCCCTCCATACTGTGTGGTGACAATTGCTATTGTCGCGAGGTCACAATTGCCATTGTCGAGAGGACACGCGACACAGAAGACATCGTGGTATTGTCTGGATTGGACAATAAAACCCAAGGCGATAAAGGAAACAGCCGCCATCTCAAATGCAATTCTTCGATTAGATTTCATGGCGCAATGCTGTAGTTCTCGGTGTAATTAAATTACAAGGCTCGAATTTATCGGGAATATGTGAGTATCATTCCATTTTCCCTAATCTGTGCGAACGGTGTGACCCTTTGGTGCTCTCCTTTTAATTTTCCGGTGAGAAAGCGCAATTCTTGTAAGGAGATCGACAGGACAGTTTCGAGATTATTCAAGGCCCGATTCAGTCGGGAGCAGCTGGACTTATTTGAGCCTAGAGACAGCTCTAGCCATCCCAATCATCCAACCCTCGGACCGCAGGTACCGGTCAGGCTGCACCATTCTTCCATTCCCAACGGAAGTGATTGGATCGACCAGGAGAGTCGGCCATTCGTTTGCACGCGATTCGGAGGAGTCGCTTGGTGGTTATTCGACCTTTTACATCCCATTGCTTGGAGGAGACGCACGGTAGTTTTCCTGTAGTCGCAGCTCTTACCAATAAATTCAAGGCAAGAATTTATTGGGAGCAGGTTAGTACCTCTCCAAAAAATATTCCTCGATCCCAAGGGTGCTCCTTGTGTGTTGTTTTCTGTTTCTCCCTGGTGTAGCCATCGAACGTCATCATTACTACAGCCAAGATGTCAAGGCTGCGCACAAAGCAGATTCGTCTAAAGAACCTGATGACGTCATTCGAGGGAATTTACGCATTCAAGGAGCAGTACGACGAGACTACTCGATCCAGCGAGCTAGCTTCGCGGTTGGAGAAGTTGGAGCCACTGTGGGATCAGATAAATGAGCTTATGACGGAGGCGGAGCTGGCGGATAGTGAGGAGGAATCTATTGGGGAGAGGTATGTTAAGATTCGAATGGAATTTCAGAATAAATTCTTTGCCATAAAGGGATTTCTACAGTCTAAGCTTCGGGACCATCCCGATCAAAACGCAGCCCTGCATAATACTATGGTAAATGAGTCCGCCGCTAACCCCCCTTCGCACCCCCACGTTAAGTTGCCGTTAATTAGTTTGCCGAAGTTTTCTGGTAATGTTGAAGAATGGTTGTCCTTTCGAGATCTTTATCTGTCGTTGATCCACTGTTCTGCTGAATTACCGGAGATTGAAAAGTTCCATTACCTACGGAGTCAATTGGAAGGAGAAGCTTTAGCTGTAATTTCGTCACTTTCACTCACTCAAGCAAACTATGTGGTGGCATGGGAATTGCTGATGAAGCGGTACTCCAACAGCAAGATTTTGAAGAAAAAACAAATTCAAAACTTGTTCAACCTTTCGTCAGTGAAAAGAGAGTCATACGCCGAATTACATAAATTGATGGAAGGATTCGAGAAGGCAACCAAGGTTCTGGATCAGATGGTGGAATCAGCGGAATTTAAGGATCTTCTCCTGATTCATTTGCTGAGTTCGCGGCTGGACGATAAAACACGACGCAGTTGGGAGGAACATTCTTCCACTCTTGAGGAGGAAAAATTCAGCGATATTTTGGAGTTTTTGAACAGGTGCATTCAAGTTCTGGAGGCACTTCCGAGTAAATTGGTATTAATTGGCTGTAAATTGGGAGTAAAAATCCACCCATCAACAAAAAGGTTTTCCCATCCAAGGTTGTTAATCATGGTTCACTTCCCGGCAATTCTTATCCAAATAGGTGTGAGTCTTGTTCTGAAAACCACCCACTTTTCACATGTCCTGCTTTCGGAAGGCTTCGAGTTGAAGACAGGGAGAAATTACTTCGTCAAAATAACTTGTGCAGAAATTGCTTCAGGAAAGGGCATCAAGCTCGGGACTGTTCTTCCAAATTTTCGTGCCGTCGTTGTCAGGAGCGCCATCATACACTGGTCTGCTACAAACCGGAAGAAAAGTTTCAATTAACGTCGCAGCCAAGCGTACGAACAGAGGAGTCTACTGAAGGAGAAGGTTCGGATTCTGAAACATCAACGGCTGTTGCGGTATCTGAAAGGCCTACAGTTAGCAGCAACATTGGGAGATTGGCGCGCAGAGTTCTTCTGGCGACAGCAGTGGTTTTGTTAGAAGATGATTGTGGAAATAAGGTCCCCGCAAGAGCTTTATTGGATTCTGGTTCCGAGTGCAACATTATGTCTACACGCCTCTCCCAGAAATTGCGTGTTTCGAGGAAACGAGCAGATGTAAACATTTCCGGTGTCGGTCAGGCTCCCACTCAATCGAAGGAGAAGGTTCAAGCTACAGTTCAGTCTAAGCTGACAAAATACTCGCAATTTATGGAATGTTACGTGCTACCAAAGGTTACTGAAGATCTACTCGGCTTTCGTTGCAAATCGTGTATCCTTCATCCAAAATCATACCCAGAACTGTCATTGGAATCATGTTCCAGGCGTAAAAAAACCCATCCGACCAATTGTCACGTGGATTGGACCCAGAACAAATCATGGAAAACCCCAGTTGGTGGCACGGTCTAGCATGGCTTACAGAGAAGGAGGAACATTGGATCAATCACATTACAATCAGAACGGAGTTCACGCTCAACGATGCAGAAGATGTTGAATTGGAGAGGAGAAGAACTGTGGCTGTTGCTTTACAATCCCCGCAAGAAGTATTCAATATTTGGTTTTTTGGTAACTTCACTAATTATTTCACTCTTCAGCGAGTTACTGCTTACTGCAGGCGATTCATTTACAACCTACGAACTCCTTCCATAGAACGAAAACGCTCGTTCCTTACAACCACGGAGCTACGTGATGCTGAAATCTGTCTCGTGAAACTGGTTCAGCAAGAAACTTTCCAACGGGAGATCCAAGCATTATCCAGAAATGAACACGTTCATCGGTCGTCCAAACTTCGTTGGTTCTAC